CATTTTCTCGACTTCCGATCCTCCTTGAAGCGTGCGACTCAGACTCGCACCCATGCCACTGGACATTCGTCCTGTGCCTACTGCAGCTCGCTTGGTTTGCCGAAATGTTTGCATCTTTCTACATGTCTGTGATCTCTCTTTGTGATGAGGCCATGGATGCCGCCGCAGCCACACCGGGCGCACGGAGCCCGGGCGAGTGAGTTAGGTAGGCTAGACGATGATTATTCGAATCGTCGTCGCGAGTGCGAACCCAGGCATATACTCAGCGCATGGCGTCTCTACTACGAGACTGGATGTTGGCGTTTCAGACCGGCGGGGTCCCTAGGCGTAGCAAAACCCAAATCTTGTCGGCGTGTACTTGCATGAGGTCGCGTGGAAGCGTTGCACGCCCACATGTCCCGAACCTACGGGTTCTTGCTCGTCCAGGAAGCGTGCTCGACATGTGAGTTCGGTGCTTGGTTTGTGAGAGCACTACACTGCATCGGAGGACCAAAACGAGCATTGGTGGCAGTTGTTCGATTTGGCCACGGACGTGGAGCATTGGATCGCGGGACGGCCGCGATCTAAGCTACGGCGTGCGGCACTAAAGTAAATCGTTGGAGTCTTGTTGTCGAGTAGGCCGCAGCTGAGTATGGTTTGCAGTTTGGAGTTGCAACCGAGGCGTGCTCGTCAACTAGCCTATGCCGGCGGATGATTCGCAGACCGATCTCGGTGCCAGCCTCATGAAAGAAAATGAGCGCATTCGAGTGCAGCGACCTGCATGCTCGAGGCCGCTCAACACAGGAGGACGGCTCTGTTCACGAGTTTTATGTCTATCCATGTGTTGGATTGCAGGAGTTGGCTGCGTACCAACCAGAAGGCTATCTGACCTTTCGCCAAAAGACGGAGACGCGTGGCAACTTGGCTGATTGATGATGTTCTCGACAGTCTTGAGTGCGTCGCGTTTGTTGGTTTCACAGCAGCTGCACCCGACGCAGGCTCTGGTGTGTAGACAGGTTGCTTGACCGTCATCTACCGAGCGAGGAGCAATTCGACAATGAAAGCGGGGAATTCCCCGCTGAAGCAACCTCGATGGTTTTCACGACAAAAGGTGCGCTTCGCAGTGCCGATCCCTCCCTTCAAGAATCTGCTTGAACTCGGCTTCCGTCACGAACGAAATAGGGTGCGCATCCGCAGTTGATGTCCAGCGAGACTTTAGTCCCTAGTTCATATCCCACGAGTGGCCGACCTCGCAGCCTGGAACTCGGACTCTAACCTAGAATATTGCCTTCAGCTCGAGGCCTGTTTGCATCTTTTTACATGTCTGTGATCTCTATTTGTGATGACGCGGCGTGAATCCTCGTCGGCCGAGGCGACACCATGTCCTACGTCGAACTGGTCGGGGTCCAGACAAGCCTAGTCTTCGCCCTCGCACAGCTTGCATTCTGAGGTCATCGCCGACGCCTGCGCCATGGCTAACGACAGGCAGAGCCCGCAGGAGATCCTCGCCCAGGCCCGGGGCTCGGTCGGTAAACCGTCATCCGGACAAGCGACTTGCATCTGTATAGCGACATGTGATAGGAGAGAGCTAATCTGCATACGTGCCGAGTTGCAGCGGCGCCACGGTGCCCTCGCGCACTGCGCCGCGGCGAAGGCCGAACACACGTCGCGACCGCCGTACGTATGAGCTTGCCATGCACTCGATGATAGCGAATAGTGACGATGCCGCAGGAGTTCTTCCGCATGATCCGGGGCGAGGGCCTCTTCCGGCGCATCGACTTGATCGAGCGTCGACACGATGCCGAGATGGCACTGGGTGCGGGCCCGGCATTCTTCGCGACTCGCATCTCAGCGATTGGAGCGACCCAACTCTACAGGTCTGCTCTGGCGCGGCGCCCGCAGCCTGCAAGACTGCTGCCGGGCTAAAGGCGAGACTTGCATCGAACGACGAGCTGAATCGCACCGTCCTGCGGCGCAGGTGACATGGACGTCACCGTCTGCGAGCACATCGCAGAGAATCCCCAGGCCAGCCGACCGATCAGGATCGTTTCGACTCGTCGATGGCATCGCAAAGCTACTCGCGGAGTCGCTGGATCGATCGCATCCATCTTCCAGGCATCTCCGTGGCTGTCCTACACCTCGGAGTGCCTGGTGGCTCTGTGGTTCTCGCTGGGGAAGGCTCGGGCTTATTCATGCGCTTCGCGCTACCGGACTGGGGGTCTTGCGAGGCCAAGGTCGGCGACATACGGGTCCTAGCCGCCGTGGACCCGACGGAGGTGGCAACCTTCACCCTGGAGGAGGTCGGGTTAGCGTGTTTGCGAGTCAATCACACACGACTGGACGCCTGCAGGACGCCGATCTCCGCAGCACGGGCGGGCGACGGAATGCGTCAGGACAACAGCTGAGCAAGGCCTCGCCCCCCTCCTGTGGAGCGGAGTCTGAGAGAGGAAGCCACACGAACGAAGCCTAGGAGACAGACTATAGACGCAACCTTGAGAGACCACGATCTAACGGCCGGGAATACTGTCCGCCCCGCTTTGCGCAGGCTCGCCGTTACGCGACGTGGGCCAAAGAACGCCTGCTCGTCGCCGTGCCCTACACTAACCTGGTGACTCACGCGGTGCGAGCCTCGACCTTGACAGCCTCGTGAATGTGGGTTCGTTGCGACGGCCTGCAGGAGATCACAGTCACCAGGGAGGACACGGAGTGGCACGCAGCGATGAGGCGCCGTCGCCTTGTCCCGCCTCCACACCGTGCTGACCTGTTGGCAGCGTGCTCAGAAGCCTCGGCCAGACCGATCGGTTGCATGGACAGCGACTCGACGAGGCCTGGGCCGCTGCTGCGGAGAGGACCTTCAAGGAAGGGTGAAGCGATGTGGCATGGGGCTTATCCGGCGTCTCCTTCGTGTCCAGACGAGTTTGGTCCGCAATATCAAACGAGAGCTGCGTTGATTACCGACACAAGGTGGGCGGGATGAACCGCTCGGCAGCCTGCCTGATGCCTGCAATCTTCCGCATAAAAGACGTTTCGCAGTGTCGAGTCTTGTTCCGGTGCTTTGCTTCAGAGACAAACTACCCGGCGAACCCTCCGAAGCCTGGCATACGGCCTACAATAAGGTTTGACGTTCTACGATTTGAGGTATGAGGTGGACCAACCCGCTTGTACACCGACATGCGGCCCATCCTACCCGGCAGTACTTGGTGAGAATTCATCCTATGTCCGCAGCAGCATTACTAGCAAGACTCATATGTTGGGCAGGCATGCACCGACGGCCTACGACGAGCTCGCACCTGTCGGCTCAAGAACTTAGAGTTCCTCCGCCGTCACATGACTCTTGATGTCCTCCGCCTTGGAAACATTTGATTGACAGTCTTTGGTTCAAACGTTTGGCGCGCTGCGTACGGCATAGCACTCATGTTGAGCCATCGTTGTTGGCGTTGGCATGCTGACAAACCCGGCAAGTGGGAGGCTGGAGAGAGGAAGAGCACGCCAATTTCAACTTCATTCCGGATCGTTCTGCAGGTTGGTGCCGTGCCGTGGGATCTCGACCATGCCGACCTTTTTGATGTTTTTGTCACTGAGCTCCCTGAGCCCCGCGCTTGATCCTCAGGCCGTGAGCTCTGTACCATTCGTGCTCACTCTGCAGAGTCTGCCTTCTGGCTGTTAGGTTCATTCTTGGCATCGTCCTGAAGGGCATGAGGAGCACCATTTGTGCTACGAAGACATCGAAGCAGGCACGGCTCCGTAGCAAAGTCATTTTATGATACGACCATAGACTCCGGTCGCCGTATCGCCGCCCATGGCAGGCGTGCCGTTATACTACCACGGCTGTCCCCTCCACTGCGTCATGAGTATTTTGCAGCATGGATTGATGCCCTCCTGTGTGCGTCACTTAGTTTCTTTCGCATGCAATCTTGTTTTTCCCTCGCAGATATCAGATCGACATTGTTGTTGAAGGTTCCAAAGCGACACGAGTTTTGGCAGCCCGGTATCTACGTCACGTCTGAACTCTCGACCGCGATGTGGTATGCTACGCCTACGAGGCATGATGGGCGCATGAGATAATATTAGACGTACCATGCCACAGCTTGCTGCTTTGATCTCGGCATCTTTGCATTGGTCAGGTTGTGCTCCCCGCCTTCTGTGGGATATCCTCCCTTTTGTCAAGCGGTATTCCTTCTTCAACCATGCCGAAGAGGTGCATAGATCGGGATCATGCTGCCGGGGGTCGTGGGTTGTACAGGCTTCGGTCGTCGCCCGCCAGGCGATGGCATTGTTCAACCAATCAAAGCACGACAGAAAGGCGGCCATCAAGCGGTCTTCGCTAACCCACAAGACTTGTTGATCCGAGGCGCGTTGGTCGTTGTTTGGTGCGACGTGCACGTGATGACTCGTTGCGCTTGCCAGGGCTGATCTTGTATCGTGGTCGGCCTTTACTTGATCGCAGCGGAGTGTTGCATATCTCAACACAGGAGGACGGCTCTGTTCATGAGTTTTATTTCTATCCGTGTGTTCTGGATTGCAGGAGTTGGCTGCGTACCAACCAGAAGGCTACCTGGCCTTCCGCCACAAGACGGAGACGCGTGGCAACTTGGCTGATTCATGATGTTCTCGACAGTCTTTCACATGCCGTGTGAGTTGCAGGTTTCCGTTCTACACGAATGAGCATTCAGAGTAGTGCGCCGTGACCCCGATGAGTGAGAGCGGCTTTAGTGAGGACAGCACAGATGCACACCAGGAGCATGAAGCAGCACGGACGCACACACAGCAGCACGGAGGCGGCACACATGTATGATAACTCACACAGCTTCACCCAGCACGAGCAGCTCGCAGCAGCGCACCTCCTGCGCGCACTTTTGCCAGAAAAGATGTCTAGCAGAGCCGAGTCCCAGACACATAGCAAACCTCGCAGCGGTTTCGGCGCTACGAACCAATATTGTTTGGAATCTCGTGCATGAGCGGACCCTTCGGCTCGAGAAGTTCTGGTTTCAGCGCGGCCGACCGGGCGGCTGTCAGCATGGTTAAGCGAATGGTCGGGTGCGGCACTCGCCCTCGCGGGCCCTTTCTTCGTCTGTGATATCACGCTGCAGGCTTCCCGCTTGGGCATCGGACGAGAGCGTGGTGAAGGCGCCGAACATCCGATGCGTGTTATTGTTGTCGAAGTTCTGTGGTTTTGCCTTCGCGGTTCCGCTCCGAGCGGCTATACTGCCGTATTCTGACGAACTCTCCGGCTTCATCGTGTCCGCCAGGCTATGGACCGAGAGGAGCAGCTTAGGATCGACATCCCCAATGCCGCCCCGTACATTTTCTACAAATTCGTCGGAGCCTCGGCGCGCCAGCCGGCCCGGTCCGAGATGCGGGTTCCGTGCAGGTGCTGTCGCAGACCAAGTCGACTGGTGTCGTGGAGAAGCTTTGCTTCCGCACCAGGTTGAGGCTCGGCACGCTCCGGAGGGTCGCGTAGTGCGGCTTGATGCCGTCTCAGGGACGTTGCCGTTCTCGCCGAGCAGCTGCAGAAGCCGCTGTGAGCGACCCGGGCGCTCCCGCGACGTTGCCACTTCGAACGATATTGTTTGAGTGGACAGGGGGAGCGTCACGTGGAATGAGTTCATGGAACACTACGAGGTCCGGATCGGCCTTGTCCGATTGCAAATGTGCACCCTATTTCCTGCGAGGACTGATGCACTGGACGAGCTGCTCGGCAGGAGGCAACTTCGAGAGCAGTCGGCGACAGAGTCAAAAAGAGAAGGCAAACACGAAAGAAGCCAGTCACGCCATCGCTTGACGATAGCAAGCTCAGCTGTCAAGTTTCTTTGCGATGACCTTCCAGCTCAAACCCTTCATCAAGAAGGCTGCCTTGAGACGGATGACCCATAGTCTTCCCAAGGCAAAAATCCCAGGACAGTTATCTGAGACGGATGACCCATAGTCTTCCCAAGGCAAAAATCCCAGGACAGTTATCTGAGACGGATGACCCATAGTCTTCCCAAGGCAAAAATCCCAGGACAGTTATCTGAGACGGATGACCCATAGTCTTCCCAAGGCAAAAATCCCAGGACAGTTATCTGAGACGGATGACCCATAGTCTTCCCAAGGCAAAAATCCCAGGACAGTTATCTGAGACGGATGACCCATAGTCTTCCCAAGGCAAAAATCCCAGGACAGTTATCTGAGACGGATGACCCATGGTCTTCCCAAGGCAAAAATCCCAGGACAGTTATCTGAGACGGATGACCCATAGTCTTCCCAAGGCAAAAATCCCAGGACAGTTATCTGAGACGGATGACCCATAGTCTTCCCAAGGCAAAAATCCCAGGACAGTTATCTGAGACGGATGACCCATAGTCTTCCCAAGGCAAAAATCCCAGGACAGTTATCTGAGACGGATGACCCATAGTCTTCCCAAGGCAAAAATCCCAGGACAGTTATCTGAGACGGATGACCCATGGTCTTCCCAAGGCAAAAATGCCAGGACAGTTATCTGAGACGGATGACCCATAGTCTTCCCAAGGCAAAAATCCCAGGACAGTTATCTGAGACGGATGACCCATAGTCTTCCCAAGGCAAAATCCCAGGACAGTTATCTGAGACGGATGACCCATAGTCTTCCCAAGGCAAAAATCCCAGGACAGTTATCTGAGACGGATGACCCATGGTCTTCCCAAGGCAAAAATCCCAGGACAGTTATCTGAGACGGATGACCCATAGTCTTCCCAAGGCAAAAATCCCAGGACAGTTATCTGAGACGGATGACCCATAGTCTTCCCAAGGCAAAAATCCCAGGACAGTTATCTGAGACGGATGACCCATAGTCTTCCCAAGGCAAAAATCCCAGGACAGTTATCTGAGACGGATGACCCATAGTCTTCCCAAGGCAAAAATCCCAGGACAGTTATCTGAGACGGATGACCCATAGTCTTCCCAAGGCAAAAATCCCAGGACAGTTATCTGAGACGGATGACCCATAGTCTTCCCAAGGCAAAAATCCCAGGACAGTTATCTGAGACGGATGACCCATAGTCTTCCCAAGGCAAAAATCCCAGGACAGTTATCTGAGACGGATGACCCATAGTCTTCCCAAGGCAAAAATCCCAGGACAGTTATCTGAGACGGATGACCCATAGTCTTCCCAAGGCAAAAATCCCAGGACAGTTATCTGAGACGGATGACCCATCGTCTTCCCAAGGCAAAAATCCCAGGACAGTTATCTGAGACGGATGACCCATAGTCTTCCCAAGGCAAAAATCCCAGGACAGTTATCTGAGACGGATGACCCATAGTCTTCCCAAGGCAAAAATCCTAGGACAGTTACAAACACTTGTCGTATAGTCCTAGTTGCAGTCTTCATCGACGAACCCGAAATTATTACGACATCTAGGTTCGCAATCGAGTTAAGAAACACAACATCGCCCTAACCCGCGGAAGCTGCGGTCACGCCATCGCTTTACGATAGCAACCATAGCTGTCAAGTGTCATGACTTGAATCTCCTCAACTAGCAACCACAGCTATCCAGCTTTCTAAGAGAGCTAGTTAAGAAACACCGCACTAACGAAGCCGAGGAGGCAAACTATCTCATAAAGCTGGTTTTGGCGAGCCCAACCTAAGCCGGCCGATATGATCGTGTCCCGACAATTAAAAGTGCTGAGGCATCTGCGGCCGAGCTTCTGGACAGACGAACATCCCGAGATGCATAAAAGTGTTGCGTATCGTTGGCATGGCAACATCGCTGCTTCTGCATGCTCTGCAGCTTTCGGGGAAACATGAGATACATTAGGTGCGGCGAGCTGGACTTCAAGACTCAGTGTAGCCTTCCCCTCCGCTCCGTCGGCTCGGCCTAGCGCTTGAAGTGTGCGACTCAGACTCGCGACTCCGACCTTGCAGTTCAGCTCGTATCCTTGTCGGTTCAGGCGGCATCATGTCCTACGTGGAGCTCGTCGGCGTCCAAGTACGCGCAGCCTACACCTTCCGTACGCCTCTCATTCCCAGGTCGTTGCCGATGCGTGCTCCATGGCCAACGCGAGGGAACCGGCCCGAGAGATCGTCGCCCAGGCCCGGGGCTCGGTGAAGAGACGGTCTTTCGGAAAAGCAACAAAAGTCCGTCCGGTGACGAGCCATAGCAGTGTCTAGATTTCCATGCGTGCCCAGTTGCAGCAGCGCCACGGCGCACTCGCACATTGTCCAGCAGTGAAGGCCGAGCACACGTCGCGTCCGTCGCGCATGCGAGCCTGCGAAACACTGGACGACAGCCACTGACGACGATGCCGCAGGAATTCCTCCGGATGCTGCGGGGCGACGATCTCTGTTCCCGCACGGAGCAAATCCAGGCCCGCTACGAAGCCGAGATGGCACTGGGTGCGGGCCCGATACTCCTCACGTGCACTTAAGCGATTGCATACATCCCAACCTGCAGGTCTACTGTGGCGAGGTGCCCGAAGTCTCCGCGACTGCTGCAGGGCCAAAGGCGGGACTTGCATCACGCTCCCGCGGACTAGCAAAGCTGCCCGTTTTGCGTAGGTGCTGTTGACACCACAGTGTGCGAACACATCGCACAGAATCCTCCGGCCGGCCACCCATCAAGATCGCTTCAAGTCGTCCGTAGCATCCGTAAATTAAAGCCGCTCACGAATTGGTCCCATCCATAGAATCTCTGACCGAGGCATCTCCATGGTTGTCTTACTCTTCGGACTGCCTGGTGGCCCTGTGGTTTGCCCTGGGCAAGGCCGGTGAGTACGCTTGCACCTCGCCTTGCCGGGCTACCTGTTATGCGAGGCGAAAGTTGGTGAGATGCGGACCCTGACCGCGATCGATCCCACGGAGGTCGCAAGCTTCACCCTCCAAAAGGTGCGGTTCGCTTGCTTCGATCCGATCAGACCCGAGTGGACCATCACAGGACGCCAACTTGAGCAACACGGGGAGCCGGAGAGACCCACCCGGCTGGCAGCTGCGGAAGGCCTCGCCTCCTCGTTTTGAGCGATATCCGAGGGAGTAACCGCACTAACGAAGCCGAGCGACAGACTAGAGTAGACGCAACCTTCCGGGACCGAGACCTAAAACCGGGAAGACAGTCCGCCCTACCTCACGAGGCTCGCGGCTATACGACCTGGGCCAAAGAGCGCCTGGTCGTAGCCGTTCCCTTGAACAACGTGGTGACTCGCGCGGTGCGACCCTTAGCCGTCGAGGACCTCCTGCATCTGCTCTCGTTGCCACCGCCCGCAGGAGTTCACCGTGACCAGGGATGACGTCGACTGGCATCTGGCCATGAGACGCAGTCGCTTGGAGCCTCCTCCCCACCGCGCCGATCTGCTGGTTCTGTGCTCAGAAGCCAGCAGCCGAGACGGAGCGGTTGGACGGACAGCAACTCCACGAGGCCTGGGCCGCTGCCGCTGAGAGGAGCTTCAACCGGCAGTGCGCCGGCGGGGCAAAGGGCTTATCTGCTGTCCTCTGCTTGTGTCTCGGCTATTGTCGCTTCAAGCGAAATGCGGACTGTTGCTTCTCGGTCCAAGGTGCACTAGACGAGCTGCTAGCATCCGTTCAGGGACGACGGCAGTGACCTGCGCGAGAGGTCGGATTCGCTGGCAAAAGTCCGTAGACTGCATGCATGGTTTCGAGCCGTTCCTCTTGTGCCGGCCGGTGGTCGGCTGCTGTCATCGGGTGTGTCACCGTTACTACTCGTGCCATCACGTCACTATAACGGCACCATTCTATCTCGGAGGACTGGGCTTCCTTGAGTTGGCTCGAGCTAGCGCATCAGGCTAAGTTGGGCTTCCGCTTTGCCCTTTGGTATTCTCCGAGGCTTCGGTTCGGTTCTACATGTTTACGATTACATGTTGTGACGGTACCAGGTGATGAACCGACTGGTCATCACGGACTTCGGTGCCGTCCCGGCCACGATTCCAAGGTCCTGGTTGGAGGCCGTGACGTGGGATCGGCGGCCTGGTCGTCCGTGTGTTCATGCCACTGTCTCAGGAGCTCGATTCCGACGCAGAGGCTCGTCTGATTTTTGGTGCCTTTCTCTTCCCTCGTGCTTGAAGACATACCGCTGCGCGAGGACGAGGACACGCCGTGTCCCATGTACGACGTCTTTGCGAATGCCCCAGCTCGTTGAGCCGAGTCTTCTAGGGCAGTCTTGCGCCCCCGCATCACAGGCCAAGAACTTCTTCGTGCTGGCGGGATCTGGTGCCCTACTGGACGACAATGGAATGCCTTACGAGCGCGTGGATGGATACAAACAGTCTACGTGGCAGGCTGACCGCATGCTTGCAATGTCCGCATCCCTGCCGTCCCAAGCGCGGCCTGGAAGCAGGTTCCTCCGGTGCCGCACGGACGGTATGCCCTCGTGCTGTGGGGCAGTCCACATGGCAACGTTGGATACCCGGATCCCTCGCAACGTGTTGCGGCGCCCCCCCCCCCCTGCATGCATCGAGGTCTGCGACGGATCCAACGGCGGAGGAGGGGGTCGCTGCTCTAACGAGGAGTACAAGACACGAGCTTTTTCGTCCATCTCCTGGAAGTGTGGAGCTCGGTCTACCCTCTTGTCTCCTGGCCCTTGCCGTGTTGGTTGCTACTCGTGGACGCGTGCTTAGGAGCCAGGGATCAGCTATGATGCTCTAT